CTCACTGAAGGGATATTAAGAAGCTGCTAAGACATCAAAGTAGCTTAAGTACTGTCAAGCCAATGCTGTACATCCTTGCATTCATAACAGACCTGTGAATGGAAATTTTCTTCCCTCTACACATTCCACTTACATCCTCAACAGTGTTACATCCCATTAAACACTATAAAAGGATGATGAGGAAGAACAACCAAAGAGGAAAGTAGCCAATAAAATACGTAATGTTACAAACATCATCGGAAAGCTTACAACACACAAATAAGCACAGAAGAAAGGATAAGGGCTTTAGGCTCACATCATTTATTCAGCTCACTGGCCAAGGAAAACCGAGCACCATGTAAATAACTTACTATCACAAGAGGAAACATCTCCTTCCCTGGTACCCATGCAGCACTCCCATCCTTAGGAAAACTCATTAAATAAGCAAAACTAAAAAAAATAAGCAAACTAAAAACATATCAAAGTGTTTCTGTCTGCCCAACCCTAAGTATCACAGGTGACAATGAAAAAACAGCTTGAGAAAGAATACAGAATTAGGAAACGCTTAAAAGAACTATAGCTAAAAACATTAAAATAGTTAACCATCAAGGTTTCATCATGATATACTCAGACACTAAAGCAACAGCACTCATCACTCAGCAATTAACAAGCCAACCACTGTTTGTATCTTTCAACAATCTGTTGCAAAGACCAAAGTTTACTAGCTCCCTATCACAGACAGGTGCATAACCCCCAGCCTCCCTACTCACGCTGTGCTTTCAGAGAACACCAGAAATCATCTTCATAAACCAATAACTTCTCTTTCTCAATGCCACAGCTCATGAGAGTGCTTGAGGGGGACCGAGCAGACAGGTTTCCCCACAAGACGTGGGCACCACAAGGCATGGACACAGCCAAGCCCACTGTGCCCAGGCTTTACATGCAGCCTTCTAACAATACACTCAAGCAAAACCGCATTAATTGCAGCCTGCTTTTGCAGTATATAAATTAGACAAACATCTCATGAAGAAGCTCTTACCTGCAGCAGGACCCTGCTCCCGACACACTGCTGGCTGCTCTACCACATGGAGCAAACGAGCTGCACCCCGGCCCAAGGCTCACCTGCCCATCACTAGCTGCCAGCTGGTGAAGCAACAGGATAAAATACGTGTTTTAGATGGCAAAGTCACTTTTCCTTGCCTTGGTTGCTCAAACTGTACCAGGCCTCTGCAGAATGGCTGCAGCTCAACAGCAACGTGTTCATTTACTCCAGATACAACATTTAAGTTCAAAGGCAGGTCACAGTAGCACTGGTGCTCCTCTGAAAAATACTTTAAATCCAAGTTTTCTGTCAGAAAAGTAAATCCAGCTAAAGATGTGAGAGTGCAAGATGAAAAATACAGTGCCTTTAAAATATATCACCGCATGAGCCCTGAGGACATCTAAATCAACAGCAGTACTGGTGATATGAAAAGCATTCAATAATTCAAGCACTCTGGGCCATATGTCAGCCTTAACTACAGATGAAAGTTATCTTTCCTTTTTCTACTTGATCACTGGAGCAGGATTCTGGTTAAAAATCTCATCTGATACATTTTCTTCTTTATAACAGACGACATAGGCCTCAAGTGAGCACTGCACAACTGAGCAGTTTGGAAAATAAACAGCAGATTGATCAAAGGACGCATTGAGAGTCATTAGGTGTCCGTGACACGTCTCCTGCGGGCCTCTCACATGGGCCACACTTCATATTCATTCCCATCCTCAGGCGTAATATGAAGTTTTGAAGACCAGGAGACAGGCAACTGGTAAAGGTCCAGTCTTTTCCATCTCCATGGCCTCCGCAGGCCAGCTGTTCCACACAGCCCCGTGCTCTGCACACAACTGGTAGCTCTGAGGAGAGATGAGAAACCTCCAGGAACTCACAGGCGACCAAAAACAAGATTTAAAAATGGCTAAGCAGGAACTGGGTCTCCCTCCTTCACCTTTCCCAACCAGCGGCCCTGCCCCACGGCTGAGGAGAGGCCTCCCCCAGGGACAGAGCCACCAGCCCCTTCTTCCCTACATGAAGTGGCATCAGCTGTTTTAAAATCCTGGAGGACTTAAATACCTTCACCTGGTCAAGGTTCAGTTTGCCCCCACCCCCTTTTTTTTTTTCTTTTTCTCCTTACTCACTTGTATGGTGCTGCACATCATCACTCTGTTCTCCTACGCTCCCCAGTAGAGTGAACAATTGTTAAGGACCATTGGCCTTTTTAACTAATTTAAAACTGATCGTTATCCCACCCAAACACTTCATTGAAGGAGAAACAAACTTTTTTTTTTATTATTTGTCTGTAATAAAGGTTAAGGCCACTTCTGAGAGTCTGCAAGTAGCAGGCCAATGAAAGAAGCCTCTAAACTACTTTAAGCTGCTCAGAATTTCCTCAGGAAAATAAATTCAAAGCTCGCAATTCATTTAGTTGACAACATTCTACAAGGCTTGGGCTTTTGTGCTGTGTGTGTTTTTGTTGCTTGTTTGGGGGGTTTAAATGAGTGACATTTCAAACATGATTTCCCTCGTGTACAAGCATGCCAAGTTGAGAACTTTGGGGGTTTATTCTCCTCTAATCTCACATGGGTAAGGCTACCGACTTAAACCTAATCCTCTTGAGAAGTAAGCATTCACAGAAATGCCCCACTTCTATCCAAATGCAGGTGTAAACTGGTTTTGCCTTGGTTATCTACCTTGGATTTCCTTTTCACATGTCAAGTCAGACATGTTGCCTAAAATGGCAACATAGCACCTCTTTCCACTTTCTTTTACACGCTTTATTTCTGTTTTTCCCCAGTGCAGGCATGTACCTCTTTCACTCTCTATTCCCACAGGATGTGTTGTTTTAGTGCCTTCCCCAGAAAAGGAGGGATGAGGTGCCAGCAGGACCTGCTCCATCGCTGGGTGCCAGGGCGACACTGCAACTGCCCACCCCCTGCCCTCAAAAAGAGAGGTTTTACACCATAACAGATCACTCTTTAGCAAAGTTCAACTCAAAACCTCAACCTCAAGTGTTAAAAAAGAACCCCCCTTAAATGAGACAAGTTATTACATTTAATCCCTTTGGGGGAAGTGGGGAATGATTTTGTGATTAAGGACCCGCAGTGGGGCTCAAGAGAATTAGTTCAATTCTGGGCTCCGAAACAAGCTTCCAGGTTCCCCTGGGAATGCCTGTGCCATCTCCTGTCTCACATGGACACCAGCAGGGGAATTTACAAGTGTGTGCAGCCCCCAGACATTGTAGCATCTACCACCAAATAAACCCAAAGGTAGGAATGAGGTGGGACTAGTTAACTATCCAAGGAGAGCACTACCATTAGACTATCACTTACCACAGAAGTCATACTTCCATTTTTAAAAACAAATATTAGAAGGAGTCTTGAAAACATAATAAGTTACATTATTACTTACTCTTGGGCTGACAGCTACTTCCTAATGGTTTTAGCTAATGCTTTAAGTGAATGAAAAAAGCTGGAAGATAAAAATAAGCTGGCAGGCCTTGCAGAAAGACACCACTTAGGTCTCGAGCACAGGACTATTTTCCACGGTTTGCACTGCAGGGAAATTTTGGTCAATTAAGATCTATAGTTGGTATTGTTTCTTGGCAAAATTAAGTTTATGAATTGATTTAATCCATAGAATGAACAAATTCAATAATGAAAACTCATCTGACAAAATGAGTTGTGACAGAGCAAATCAAGCAAGCACCATCAGAAAAACATAACACTGAAGTTGCTGTGTAACCTTTTAGATGGTGAAGCGCTCCACTATGCAACCCACAGTGAAAGCATTAGACAGCTTGTCTTGCAAAAAGAAAGAACAAAAAGATTTAGTCTGATTTACTGATAAGCCCACATCTTAGTCATAATAACTCTTAGCCATTCACTTAGCTATTCACTATCAGCATATATTTTCCCCTGCAATTATGGAACACAGCTGTCATACACCCATACAAGAAATACATAAAATGAGAACTACTTCCCATTCTTAAAGACATTGCAGTTATTTAAAAATTTTACTCCGTTCTGAAAAAGCACTGTGCCTGTTAGGGTTGCAAGTAATACCCAGGGTGCATTTAATGTATTACAGAAGTTACTTGCAGTAACTTAACTTAACATGCTTCATGTGTATCTAAACTATTTTCTCTAAGTAATTGCCCCTTGCAGAAGGTGGAAAAATCCACACAAAGTCTCAAGATCAGCGTTTGACATTGTTTCCTTATGTTCAGTCTATATGCAACAATTTAACCTTGATGTTAAGTATTTTTGCAGAGCAGCCACTATTTATTTTATAGAATCATAGAATTGTCCAGGCTGGAAGGGACCTCCAAAGGTCATCTAGTCCAACCTCCCCGCAGTCAGCAGGGACACCCCCAACTAGACCAGGTTGCCCAGGGCCTCATCAAGCCTCCCCTTGAATATCTCCAGGAACGGTGCCTCAACCACCTCCCTGGACAACCTGTTCCAGTGCTCCACCACCCTCACAGTGAAGAATGTCTTTTGCATGTATTAAATCCAAGTAGGCTTTATTATAGTAGAATGGCTGTTAAGTGTATTTTTAAATCTGCTACTTGATTGGTTTGTATGTAACTACAAATTAAGGTGATTCTTCACATTAATTTACTTAACCGCTTTTCTAACTACAATTATTTCAATATTTTCCTTAATTTTTTCCACTATTAAAACTTCAAGTTATAATGGAAGTGTAAACAGTTGAAAAATACAGAAAGCCCCAATCCCAAGCAAACTCAATATTCAAGAGATCAATATAAAGCTGTTTCAAAGCTGTCAGTTATTAGGTGAGCAAGTAACACCAATAACTCTGGTTGACCCTAAAAATCAGTCTCTCTACAATGTAAAATGCAAAAACAACTGACAGACTTCCCATGAATTTACAGAAATCCCATCCATCCCATCCAACACGCACTGAAACCCAGGTGTGCCTAACTTGAATAGTCAGATGAATGTCAACCACAAAGCAAAATTGGTGACAACTGTGTAAAACTGGTAACTTTATTTTGTGACTGTTTAGCAGCTTCTAATTTTAAATTATGGAGGTACAACACTGACATTCATGAACGCTTGTTTTAATAGAAAAGCCTTCTTAAATTTTTCAGAAGTTCTCCCAGGCTGGAGTGACAGAAGGTGCGATGCACATGTGGTTAGAGGACTTCCACTACTGCCAGTGGTGTCAGCAGTGTCTTCCTAGATCAGCTGTACCAGGTTAATGTGAATAGCTGTGACAAAAATAAAACAAATACTGTAAGACAGTTGTAGTTTCTGTATCTGGTCACTCTCCCCACATCCACTTATATCTAAAAATCACTTCCCCTCTCCTACCGGCAACAGGCTAATTGCCCTCTTAATTTTTCATTTTGCTGTATAATCAAACCTAATGATTTGCTATAAACTTTTGATTGTCCCATGTCCTCAAGTAGGTAATCTAACACCTGACTTCTCACTTCAATGCATAATATAGTCTAATAACCCATTCCTTTTACGTACCTGAATCAGGTTTCTGGTGAGGGCCCACTGCAAAGCTAACACACTCCTCCAGCTGACACTGTGCTGCAGAACACCCTTACAATGAAGGGGTACATCCTGTCCTAATGTCTGATGCAGAATCATGTAGCCCCAAATTACCCCTGATGGATGTGTGTCTCACCAATTCTTGTTCCTGTCCAGACACTGTGTTTCAATATGAATTGGCCATACGCCGCTTCCTCAAATCTAACCTAAATCATCTTTATTACAAATTAAAGCAATTACTTATTATTCCACCTAGAATGAACGCAGAGAAAAGTTATCTCCTCTTTATAACCTTGAAAGAATGAACCCATTCCAAGAGGAAGAGCTTTGAAAACACACAATTCCTCTTATAATCTTTTATAGTTCTGATAACACCTTCTGCTAGAATAGACATCCCGGTTGTCAGCATCGGGAAGGTTTTACCTAGAAGTGATTTACAGTTATTAAACCAAAGAGCTACAGAGCTTTGTCACTCTCACCTGGCACTAGCAAAAGGCTGGGTATCCCTCCAAGCAGTGGCCATTTTGCAGGTTGACATCAAGAACATTCCAGAAGTCCAAAGTGTTTAGCAGGTGCTAAAAGAAAAGGTGGGAGATTATGCTTTTGCATCTGATAGTCCTGTTTAGAAACATTTTTTGATTTTTTTTTTTTTACTGTCAACTGTTTTAAAACAAACAGTTGAATCTGCTTTTGGAACTTTTAACTACAAGGGTCTGAAAACACCAGGCTTAAGAAACAGCAGTTACATACCCGAAAACAGAGATGGAAAGGAGCACTGCGGGCAAAACAGTGACACCACACACCAACAGCTACAAATGCCTCAGCCTTTATCATTCCTAGTGCCCTACTTTAAAAGATGCACCACCGCTGAGCTGCGAGTGTCACCTTCCCGTGCGTATTTAACAGCGGAGCACACTGACCTGCAGCGTTACTCATCTTAGCGTGAGGGCACTACAAAGTCCAACTCTCCCCAAGATTAATGTTAACCTGCACAGACAAGTTAAAACATAAACTAACAAACGAAGTGCAATGGGTATGGAAAAGTTAAAGCCAGATTTTATTTCTGAGCGATTTTGTCATGACAAACACGTCCGATGTCGTCTGAGGCTGGTTCTAAGCAAGGATCTAATCCATGACCGTAATGTAGGTCACTAGTTTGATACAGTTTGTGCCTAATATTCATTCCAAGGAATCAGACTCAGCCCTAACACCAATGGCTGCCCAGCATGTACATGTGGTTTCTTTTTATGCTACCATTTAATAAAAGAAAATAATCCAATTAAGCACGTCACAATATTTTTTTTGCTAACCTCCCTATTTATTTCAGTCATTAGAGCAGTACTTAATTTACAACAAAGCACCGTACTCTAATTCTGCACATCCAAGAATATTCATGTTTAAAACCTGAACCGCCCTCACCGTTTCTGCTGCCCTTTTGGTTTTCAATGAGCTTCAGTAACTCAAAAGAATTGCAACCAACTTGGTAACTAAAAAAGAAAGCTTTGTAGAACGGTAAAAGTTCACAACAGGGGAGGAAAAAAAGCCTTTCTAAAATAGCCAGGTGTTCACCTCAACCCATACCAACTTCAAACAGATGCAAGGACAGTAGTTGAATCCGATTTCAGACTAAGGACATGAAAGATGGGCTTTATATTCTTACGCTTTTATAATGTTACAACGAATTCATTTTTAGATAAAGAATAGTATACTCCCCTACTCTCCTATTCTTTCACAAAGTTTGCTCTGAAAATAGCATGGCTGAGTTCCAGTCTTTCAACTACTATTTGATCACTGCCAAATATTTGCAAGTTCAGATTTTTACACATCCCACCCATCTACTTGATTGTAGTTCACGTAGTATCTACCATGTTTTGTTCTACTTTTATGAGTAAATGTACTGTGGCAAGTGATCAAGTCAGTCATGAAAACAGAATGAATCACATTGAAATACAGAACTGAAACAGCATTGGAAGAAGAGCCCCTGACTGCCAGATCTTATAATTAATGATAGGAAGTTGTATAGAAATTGCTGAATTAAAATTTTTACTTTCTTCCATTGATTCTACATAAACGAATCAAAATCCTTCTTAAAGTGTTTTTTCTGTATTTGTTTCAGAACTTTTTATTGCAAATTTACAAATGTTGCATCTTGTCTTATATCACCAACAAAATAGTAAAAAGGTGCTTTCTCCTGGAGAGAAAGTAGCTGCCCTGTTCTCCAATTAAATAAAAAGTATGCCAAAATCAAGAAGAAAAATCTGTACCAATCCTATTTCAGGGGTAGGTGTTTGTGAAAGTCTTTGTATAGAATTGGGAATCTTTATCTCAATTTTAGGGATGACCAATAATGTTTTGGCAGTGGGAAGGAGGAGAAATTACAACACCCCCAAGTCCTTCTCCTCAGGGCTGCTCTCAATCCACTCTCTCCCCAGTCTGTACTTATGCTTGGGATTGCCCCAAACCACTTGCAGGACCTTGCACTTATTGAACTTCATGAGACATGAACATGGGCCCACCTCTCAAGCCTGTCCAGATCCCTCAGGATGGCAACCTTCCCTCCAGTGTGCTGACCACACCACACAGCTTGGTGTCATCAGCAAACTTGCTGAGGGTGCACTCCATCCCACTGTCCCTGTTGCCAACAAAGATGTCCACTTGGACATTGAGCTGTTGATTGCCACTGAGTGCGACCATCCAGCCAACCCATCTAAGCGGTCCATCTGTCAAATCCACACCTCTACAACTTAGAGACAAGGATGCTGTGCAGGGGGACAGTGTCACAAGTCCAGGGAGATGACATCAGTTGCTCTTTCCTTATCCACCAACACTGTAACCCTGTTGTAGAAAGCCATCAGGCCATATCTGATAAATATCAGATACGATTTGCCCTTAGTGAAGCCATGTTGGCTGTCACTGATCACCTCCTTATTTTCCATGTGTCTTAGTATAGTTGCCAGGAGGATCTGATTTCAAGCCTCTCTATTACTCACTAAACATTTCAATAGGGCACAAAAACATGACAATGGCAGACAATTTCCAACTTGCATCTGAAGAGGTTATGTATCACTACACTTCTGCAACCCTCCATGAACTGAAACAGAAAATATCTGGTGTATTCTCAATCACATTTGGGTATCAAAAGGGGATGTGTCAAATATGGAGGTCAGTGAGAAGGAAGGGAATTAAATACTGCATTTACAGCACCAGAATTCAATACAAAAAAGCAATTGTCCCCAGTTAAAATAATTTTGTTGGTTCTGTTATTAGACATGTGAAGGCAGAATACATGGTCTACAATTCCTGTAAGTTTCAAATGTATTATATACATAGCAAAGTGATACCAACAACAAATTTGGTATAAACACTTTGCTGCAGGGAGGGAAAGAAATGAAAGTTAGAATATTAAAGCAGCAATAATGAATTCAAGGGAGCTACAGTTTAGATTTCCAGTTCTCTAGGTAGTCCTCTTACAAGAAGAGCTAATTCTGTATTGAGCAGTTAAGACCTCCGTATTCAAGTTGACCCAGCTCACCTCCAGAAGATTAAGTGATATAATGAAAACCAACTCTTTTCCGGGATTAGAGAGTGATAGAAGTTTGTCTTCTGCTTAACAGAATGTTACTCTAAGAATTGATTTTTCCAAAGTATCCTTTTAGTTTTGCTTCAAGTACTGACTAGGAACTAGAGACTAGACAAGAAGTTCTGTGCACTTCAAATTGCTTTTTATATAGCCAGCTGTCATTTTTCCTTCTGGTGGCAACTGTGAAAGGAACCTTTCAAATTAGAAAGATATCTAACATGTATCAGAACCTGCAAAGATTACTCAGGCAAAAATAGTATCTGAAACTACTTTTAGTATGTCTAGATTAAGAGATCACAAAAGCCAACCAAATGCTGCAAACATTTAAAAGAGAAATTATGATTGGATTAAGATCATACTTAATTCTCAAGTCAACATTTTATTTCATTTTTTTTTTTAAGAACCTAGGCAGGTTCCCTCATGGCTGTCATACTCCAAAGCCTGGGACAGGCATAAGAAATTTCAGGACTAACTTGAAGTATTAAGGAGATTCAGAAACATTAAGTAGGCATGATCTTCAAACGTTATCTACATATTCACAGGGTCACATTTCTGAACTAGGTTACACTTACCTATGTAATTACTGCCTCAGTAATAGAATTAGCTGAAAAATCTTAATATAAACCTACTTTTGCTCCTTGCCGATGGCAACAATGACAGTCAGGTGTCTCGTTCTTTGTGCATCTGTTGGTGAAACTGCAGGTATAGCTTCTCTCTACAATCATCCCTGGGTGCAGTCATCTGCAACCAAGTGAAAAATCAATTAAGCAACAGTACAGACTGCAGAACTGTATTAGAACATCACCAAGTCTTCATTACTTTACCATTTAACAATACTGTCAAAAACGATAAAAATAGTTCTTTGAAGCAAGGTGGGTTTTTTCACCTTTTCTTTTTCCCCGAGGAAATTTGTTAAAGACATGCAAGCAAGCATGAGAAATATGGTTAAACTTGGCTGCAGACTTTTCAGAATTAATCTACTGAGAACAGCCCTTTTATCTATTCCAACCCACAGAGGATTACTTTTGCCCCGTTCTCTTCTGAACTTTCTTCCATTTTGATGCTGGGACTCAAATCTTACTCCAAGGGAAGACAGTGAGAGACAAGGAAAATACACCAGACTTTTTTCCCCTATAGCCAGACACTTGAAGCTGAACTAGCACTTTTCCAGCTGTGTTACAGAACACCTTTCCTAAATAGTTTGAGCCATGTTAAAAAATATCCACACTGGACACACATCATTTTTGTGAGCACCATTCAGCAATTCAAGCCTCAGCACGCACCCTACATTTACCAAAGAGTGGTACTTCCTGAAGATAACCAGAGTTATGATTTTTCTATGATTTAAGGCTACCACCACTCAGCCTTGAAGGGACACAGAGATATTATGAACTTGTTTGTCAACTACAGATGAAAGTACACACTCTAAGGAGGAATAGGAGCTAGTTACAATTCTTACCTTCTTAGGAATACTGGCATCTCATACTAATCTTCTTTCCCTGTCAAAAGCTCCTATTGCTGCCCAAATAGTTCAAAGCAAAGGAGAAAATATGTTTTGAATGCATCCTTCTCCAAGTTAAAAGGCCAGTTCATGCAAAATATTTTTTCTTCCATGCTCATGGGAGGATTTAAAGAAATCAGACATACATTCATTAGCAGCATTTGCTTATACTTAGTATTTTTAAGATTGGTATGTTTCACCAAGACTGAACTGATGCAGAAGACTGCTCCCAGCACTCAGAAAAGCTCTTTTTACATCAGCAGCTAGTTGCTTTTCTTGCTATTCTGGATTTTCTATTTCTCCCAGCACCTCCAGTTATCTCAACACATAAGTCATCTGCATTTAATGAGGATATAAAGTATCCTTTCACTAAATATAGACCAGGCCAAGAAGACAAGAGTTTTAAAATTTATTTTGTGCTTTCCTAGAAGGGTAAAAGCCATATAAGCCTGGAACAATGTTTTAGCCCCATGATAAAATAAGCACATTTAATAGATTTTCATACCACTTTTCATTTTTAAAGAGTGTCATTATATCAAGTAAAAGTGACATACTATTTCTCCTTTACCACTTAAACTCTAGGGAGATGCAGAAAGGTCATGTTTCCCTCTTTGGGTTTGCCTGACATACTGAACACCTCGTGATACACTCTACAGCAGCTCAGTCAGTTCCTCCTGACATTGTTTAAAGAAAACCCAAAAAACTACACTGACATCACAACAGTCACTGCAAAAATCCACAACCACAGTGGGACGTTTTAAGCCAAGACTTCTGTTTATGCAAGATCCAAGGCTTCTGCTTCATCCTTGAGTAAGGAGGTACTGAACAGTTTACACTGAAGAAGAAGAAGCACCTTCATTAAGCATCAGCAACCAGCAGGATCTAAAGTGACTCACATTAATCTTTCATTTCTTCTCTTCCCACAATAAGATGTGGCACTTGTACATCACTTACACGTTCTAAATTAAGCATGGTTTTCAGTTATGGTATCTAAGATAGACCTTACTGAAAAGCTACATCTTGAACAGAAGAGTTCAAGCAAGTGACCAGAAGCCAACTTTCAGTAAGCTGCCAGCCATGTGAATGTCACTGTAATAGCACCACAGCCTGTCCTCCTGTACTCTGCACCCACCACAACTGGTATCAACACCTTTGGGCTACACTACTAGATGTGGACATACCCATGGGAAACAACCAGGCAGATAGGAAGAGTGGCCTCACCACCTCTCAAGGTTTCTCTGCCCCCAGTGAGGATATGACACTGCTATAACCACAAGAGATTTCAAAACCCACCTGGATGCGTTCCTGTCCAACCTCCTCCAGGTGAACCTGCTTTGGCAGGGGGTGGACTAGATGATGTCCCTTCCAACCCCAACCATTCTGTGATTCTGTGAAAAGGAAAGAAGCAAGTTCAGCTTTCAATATTGGGTTCTCTCCACTGCTAATAATAGTTTGTTTTTCCTGTGAGCGTTTATTATGGTGTAATATCTTTGCCAAAAATCTAAGATTTTAAAATAAAATATCTTTGTTCTAAACACACAACTTTCATCCTGAAAGTCAATAAAAGAAAACAACTTTGTCACTTAATATTATTGGGTAAGACATCTGAAGGACTAAGGTAACCCTCAAAACAAGGAAAAAGCAGATAAATACATCTTTCTGCTGTCAGCATTTTAGAAAACCAAACACAAAGCGTGGGAGAACGTGAGGAATAAGAGAAGAGGCTGAGAAGACACTGCTTGGGAATTAAATGGGATGTGGATCACCAGCAGATGATGCTCAGATGTCCAACAAAAGGCTTCCTCTTCTCCACTGAAGATGCTGCTTTATGGTAAACATTGAAGTGCTTTCTATAGCCCTACTACAGAAAATGTAACAGAAAACATTTTCTGATCAGAATTTTTGCTTTTTCTAAACCAAGAAGTCCTGAATATAGATCTCTGTAGGAATAAACTCAGTAGTTCTGTGGATATATAATAAGTCTCAGGGAAAATGAGATGGAATGAACAAAAAATGGACAGTTCATCAATAAGATTTTAAGCTTCAAAAATCTACTTAGAATAGGCACATTAAACACTATCTTCATATCACTAAATGTAAGTTAGGACAATACTGAACAACTCAGAAGGTAGTTACTACAATAAACAGATTTACAAAAATACAGGATTTGTAAACTCACTAAGACTGAATTTTTAACAGGCTTAAATATTAATGCAGTATCTTTTAAGTAACACATTGCCTCAAGAGGGAGGGAACGTTTAGAGGAAAATGAGCAGGAGAAGGGATTATGTAGAGGAAAACATGCATGAGAAGGGGGGAAATGCAATTAAACTAAGAAACAAGTGACCCATCCTAATTATCACTGATAGCAGATGCTGCTAACAGATGCTCTCACATAATGCTCAAAGCACAGCTGTGAGAACCAGAAATAGACACCAAAGACACTAAACTCAAAGATGCATCGCTTGCACCTTGAAAAGAGATACTTGAGATATCATTCTAGGTTGACAAAGCCCATTTCTTCCACCGACTGCAGCATTATGAAGCGGTCCAAAGGAACACCGGGCCCTTTTGCTAAAGCTGTTAATTTCAGGGCTTCACAGGTGTTGGCAGAAAAAGGTATCAAGGATTATTAACAGATGCACTAACCCTAAGAAACAGCTTAATCAAGTCATAGCTTTAGTATGACAACAGTCACACTGTCCTGTCTCATTTTACCTTACCTAGTCTCCAGTCAACAGAACTGTACAGAAAAGTAAAAGCTACTTGGAAAAAAAACAGGGAAATAAAAGCATTTTGAACTGCCCAAGAAATTTTACATTACAAGTAATAAAGGAACTACACTTTGCTTGAGTATCTCAAGGTTATTGCTCTTGGCATTTTTTTTCCTAATGTAGGTTCAGCTTTTAAGTGTCACAAGTCATGAGAGACTGAATAAAAAACAGCTTTAAGATACCTGTATCTGTTTAGAAGTAAACCTAATGGCCAGAGCAAGATGAAAGAGATCAGCAGGAGATCCGCACGTCCACAAACCAACAGAACAACAAACAGCCTAGTGCAAATTATGACTTTCTGATACTTTCAGGATGCTAGAAATCTCCAAGGGCTATGCACAGCACTCCATTTTTCAGAGCAGCATCTAACTGCTTGGGGTTCTGATTAACTTAAGATTCTACCAACTGCAAGAATATAGTCATAGTAAGGAAGAAAACATCTACTTCCCAGGCTCCAGTCTTTAGATTCAGTGAAATATTCCAGTACTAATACCTGCTACAGTCTTAATTAACAGCCAGAAAAAACACAACTGAGGTGCCCAGCCTTTTCACATGGCTGACCAAATTCCAACCACCAGCAGTGGGAGTGTTTCTCTGGGTTTTTACACTGGCAAAACTAGTGTAAATTAGGCAGAACTATAATAAACTGGACTCATGAACGCTTTAAGAACACATTATGCCATCATCTACACTCAGTGCGCCATCACCAAAGCAAAAGTAAGTTAAGACTTTCTAGAAGACACAATTCTTTGTGACTCCACTTAAAACCAATGAGAGCAAAACGACTACAAATCATGTTTCCACGACTTTTCAAGTCCCCTTTAAGAAAGTCCTTGCACACCAGTAATTCCCAGCCCAGGCACCACAAAAGGAGAGAAATGATACCAGACCCCACCCCTGAGAGCATTGCAGCTCCCAGAGACTGCTTTTAGAGGACAGCAACATGAAACTCTTACTGGAAAACTATCGATGCAGCCTCCAATAGCAGTCAGCTGCAGAGAGCCTCAGTCCCCAGAGAGCCCACTCGACAGGTTACTTTAAGTCAAAAAGCCCTCATTTAGGAAAAATAACGGTTCTGTTACCTCTGTATCCGACATGGGATGGCAGTAGACAGCAGTAAGGGCCATGGAATTATGATGGCTGATCTCTGTATGCCTAAAGGGACATTTACAGTCTATAAAAAGACCCTCAACCTTTAAATACCGTTTTTGGGCACTCACTATTTAGGATGTTACAATTCATACCGACAGTTACTGGCACAGCCCAGCCAGGCCGAGTGGAACGAGCACGGTAAAGGCCCCACCGACAAGCCACTGGTACTACCCCAGCCTAGAGGCTGTTCCTGCGGGCCCACACCGCCACAGCCCAGAGCTACCACCGCTTCACGCCTCTCATCCCACCGGGGAGAGCGGCCTCACACACCAGAGCCACCCCAGGAAGGCCTTAGCACCACTAAACTTTGCACCCTGAGGGGGCCAACGCTTGGCAAAACCCCAAGAGCTTCCCCCTAGGCCCTACTCCCTCACCGGGTGCCCAGCAGCCCTACTCCCTCACCGGGTGCCCAGCAGCCCTACTCCCTCACCAGGTACCCACAGCCACCCCACCAGCAGCAGCACCCCAGAGCTCCGCACCCCGCCGCCGCCGCCCTCAAATGGCCGGGGCCCCGCCCGAGCCGCGCCCCTTCCCTCTCAGTAACCAATGCGGGCCGTGCTTGCTGGAGGAGGGCGTGGCGAGGGGGAGGCCGGCCAGTAGGGCGCGGTGTTGTTGCGGAGGGGGCGGGGCGCAGGCCGGTGTTTGGGGCGGGCTGGGCGGCGGGCGGTTGCGGGGCGGCGAGGGGCACGGCCGGCGCTCGCTGCCTCCGCCCGCCCTCCCGCCATGAACTCCCTGGACCAGGCTGAGGGTGAGTGCGGCGGCCCGCAGCCGGCCCGCAGCCGCCG